CCATTTAGTGCACATCTTAATTTTTTTTTAGACCTCAAACTATAAAAACTTTGACTCAAATGGTTGAGATTGAAATGAATTGCCACAATGTCCTATGTAACAGCACATATATATATGGAATTTAAATGTTTGTTTTGTAAATGTTTATAATTAAGTACAAATCCACTTAATTATACCAAACCCATTAATTTTGTTAACATTTATTACATTAAGTAATTGACTCAGCATTCGTCTGCTTTTTGTTGTACTGGTGTAAATCCATTTTTTGAAAACATGCTTTTCCGCTTTCCTTATCACGTCTGTGAAAAAGCTGCTTATCATCATCTGTCTCCTCTCCAACATTTCTCCAGATCTGAAACATGAAAAGCTCCTGTCTATAAGCCTTTGATGACACATCACTGTAATTTGAGCTCTGATAAATACAGCCATTGCCTTTGTAAACAAGATTCTCCAAACTTATTTACACTGTATTTAAAGCAAAAAAAAAGTCTTTCCTTTATAAACTGGGTCTTATTTGTGCAGTATTAGCCATCAGTCCTTATTGGGTGCGATAACAGTTTGTAGAGATTCATGGATACGGAAGCTCTGCTGGTAGGGGAGTTATGGCAAAGAACATGATGTGTCAGGTTTTACCCACAGTGAAAGAGACCTTTCTATAGTAAATATCAACTTTTAATATGTATTTTCCGGTTTAAATTTGCCGCCGAAAAGAAACACACGGGTATAGTCTGAACCATGCATCGTCCGCATCACATTTAGTAATTAAGTACAGTATCAGTGGGCATGTGCAGTATGACAAACAGCATTACACTTAAATACCCACAGACATAAGTATTATTTGTATATCTCCACTCTGCAACCCGTCCTAATCTGTATGTTTTATTTTTTTATTTATTTGCATGTTTACTCCCAGTTACCATTTGTCAAATAAAAAAAGTCCATTCACTCCCCAGCTGACAAGTAAACTTTGTTATAAGAACTGACAATGTGAATAAAAGAAATATCTGAGGGTTGTGCACAGTTTTGTGATTGATAGAAATGTTTGTTACTGTATCCACTTGTCTTGATACTAGTCTTCCATTTTTCATCTACTTCTTTCCCCTCACCTCCCCGAGCTGACAGTGGTGGTTTTGTTGATGTGAAGTACTGTCAAGCTATAAGAGACCCAAATTCCATGCTTGTCTTCCCATAACAGAGTGACGTGAATGCTCTGAGCACTGTAAACAAAATAAGACACCATAGTAAGCCTTGTGTAATTCAGTAACATTTGCTTTGTGAGCTTTGCATTAGCAAACAATGGAAACTGCCAGGGGTTTACCGGTTTCAACAGCACAACTCCATATCCAGTGACATCTGTCTTTTATCTTCTTTGTATCTATTCCCACTTTTTTTTTGTTTGACATGTTTTCTGTATTGGCACTGGAGGAAATCAAGGGAATGTGTTTTTCATGCAGGATGTAGATAGGTGTAAATTTGTGATCTGTTTGCAGATTTGTGGTGTCAAAACTTTTGCAGACTTATTTTGCCGTTAAGAATTTTCACAGGTACTTTTAGTCTCCGGCTGACACACGGGTGCAACGACACATTATTTTTAAATGTATGATGACCCTTCTAGCATCAAATTACAGTCATTTTCATGTAAACGCAGTGAAAGGGAGGAAAAGCTGTGAGCACAAGAAAAAACAGTGGTATATCTCCACAAAGGCAGATAAGTTTACATTGCATCAGTAGCTTATAACATTCGATATGTTATTTCACACCAAAATGTCACTGGTGTTGTTCATGTTTTGGTTTTCTTCTTTTTGTTTGGAGCATTGTAACTCATTATTATTATTGTTATTATTATTATTATTATTGTTATTACCATTTCCATTGCATCTTTCGTCAGACTGACTCAACTATTTTGGATACACAGATTCATCACCAATAGGAATAATGTTCCGTTTCATCTCCCCACACTGCTTTCACAGTGATCCTTTCCCTTCCTGAAGAGAATCAGATTGTTGATGGCTGTTGATTCATTTGAAAACTCCTCTCTATATCTGTCTATTCTGACCCTCTGTCCAAACTGAGCCGGTAGTCTCACCTTGGTGCATCTTTTTAAGCTTCAGCCTCACTGAGATGTTAAAAACATTTCATCATTACAACCATTGATTTTACCTGCTGTGAAACCAGCTCAGCTCCCCAATGCTCTTTGTTTTTCACTGTATGTCCAATTTTGGTTTTGTTTTTCCCTCTCTCTGTCTGTTTTCTCATAGCTGTGCATGTGATCCAGTTATTGGAATTGGCTTGTTGCAGTCCTCCAGGTTTCTCTACAGAGAATAACGTTATACTGGCCTCGTTCACCTTGACAAAAAGTCAATCACCAAACTAAACAGTTTTATGGTCTTTCGTGTATAGGGAATGAAATGGGCCAAATCACATTTATTTTAAATTGGACAAATAAAACTACTCTGGAAATCAAAAATATACTTTCTCTGTGTTGGTATTTCCAAACACTTACCTTCCAAGCAAGGTAAAAGATTAAATAACTTAGGTATGCTGTGTTAATAACTGAGGTAGCTTAGACTATATGTATCAGGGTGTGTCACATAAGTGCCACTGTAAAACTTAACTTCAGTTCTCTACCTGCAGAAAGGAAACCTAATATGTAATGCAATTCAGCTGCAGCTTTTCAGTCAGAATACCTGAGGTGCAGCCGCTGTCCCTCATGCTTCAGTATTATTCTCTAAGCAATAAATAGTGTAGAGCAGGTGAGAGCACAGACTAATATCTGTACTTTAGACTGTTCTCTGGAATGGGTTGCAATAGGCTCCTTTTTTTTTTTTTTTTTTTACTGTCTTACCTTCCGATTTCTAAAGTACTGATTTATCATCATTTATTTATAGGGAAAGTGTGGATTTTTCTACAAATCCTTAGCTTTGCTGCTTATGTCTCTGTGTATTCAGAGCAGAAAGTATCTGGTATAGCTATCAGTTACAACCTGACCTGCTCCACTGATTTAACAATATTTTACAGCTAATAGTTTTTGATCTTTGGATTAATAAGCCATGTAGGCTACGATGCAAGGGCTTTAAATGTGCATATGTTTTCCATTTATTTCTCTTGCTCCCTACCTCTTGCTGTGTCCTAAAATCCCATGGTCCCATTCATGTACCATCCCATATGCTTTCTTTGCATTTGTTTGAGTCCATTTACCATAACCAGCTGTCTGCCTCATTTGAACCACTCACTTTAATTGCCTCACTTTCCTCATTACTTCGGCAGTAGCGTGCTCACTGGTCTCCTCCTCCCTATCCCTCTTTCCCTTTTTGTCCTCACGCTGTGTTCTTTGTGCTCTTCACTCATTGCAACTGCCTGCCTACTAGTTGTCTCAGCTTTAGTCCTGGGTTGCTTGCTGGTTATAATTGCCTCTTTAGCTGCCATTTTCTTAGCCTCCATCTCTCCTGCTCTGTATCTTGCTCTTTCATTTAAGCTGTGAAACTATAACAATCTCCCTTGTTTGCTAGTTTGCTTTGGCGCTAGAATTCACACTAGTTTTTATACCGTCTTTGCTCTTTGCCCTCAAAGCTTTCTCCAGCTCACTGGCAATTATCCCTTGTTGTGCCAGCAGTACCTTCCACAAGCTTTTTACTTTCTACCTTACTTTCCTCTTTGCCCTCTGTGCCTCAGTGCTGTTTGAATTGCCATATCATCTAAGTTCTCCCTTAACTTTCCATCTCTTCCATCTTAATGTCCCTTCTTATCAATCTTTTTTTTTTTTTTCTGACTCAAAAGCCATTTCTCTCATCTCCTAGCTCTAGCTTCTACAAAGCTTTTGTTGCCTTTCTAACTCTTTGCCCTCATGGGTTTCTGGGTTTCTCTTTAATTCTCTTGCCAGCCATTAATGGCCTTTAGTCCATCACAATCCTGCTCACTGAATTTCTCTTATTGCCTTCTTCTCTGTCCCCTTGGCCTCTATGCTGGCTTGCTTACTATAACTGTCTCTCAATTTCTTTAGTGGCAAGAACTTACCGAGAGTCTTCTTAAGTAATAGGCTCAAGTCAGATTTGTGGAGCCCCATAGAGAATGTTTCTTGGGTCTTTGTAACGCTGCTGAACCTGAAATAAACTGCCAAGATCTTTTCTCATAGCATTTTGCCTGTCTACTCCCCAGTCCCCACGACTTTTACCTAAAACCCATTTTTATCTCCTTTTCTTTTTCCTTACCATTTCACATTTTATTGCCCTCACCTACCTCTCTGTGCCTCTGTCGTGTTGCTCTCCATTACCTCTGCCAGTCTACCGTTTCTCTCATTCCTCTCTCCTCTTTCTTTCAAGTCTGCTCCCTTTTCCTACTTCCTTTTCTTCATTATTCCTTTCCTTTGTCAGGCAATTCCACAATTTTCTCAGTCTCTTCTTTCCTTCTTGTGTTCTACGTGTCCCTCTCGCGTGTCGTCCATATTTTAATCCTGAGTTTATCCTTTGCTCCTCATTTCCTATTTTCCTCTGCAGTCATCGTCTATCTGTGCTCCCTTGCAGACCTATCAGTAGGGTGAAGCTATTTAAACCTCACACTTACTCTTCACATGGAGCTGCTTTCAAAACACCAGAGAAAAGAGGGAATTGAAGAGCAGAGGGAGATAAGTGGGAGAAATGCAAAGGAACAATCTCACAAAGTTTACATTAAATCCAGGGTGAATCTACTCAGTAAAGTGACCCGTGTTTGTAAAGAGCAGCAGATATTGTATTATTATCTCCTGCCTCTATTTACTTGCTAAGACATTTACTGTGCACCACTTTGACTGTTGCTTCTTAAGCTAACATAAAAGCAATATCACAAGAGCAGGGGCTTAAATAGACTTTAGCTTTTACTCTTTCAGTGACTCACAAAAAAAAAAAAAAAAAAAAAAAAATGGAAGTTTCGAGCCACTTATCATTTGCAAAAGCTTTTTTTGGTTTTAATTCAAATCTCAACTGATATTGTAAATGATGCAACAGTGCTCTTCCTTTCTTCTGCAGGTCTGGTGGTAAGAGAAGCCAGTATAGAAATAACACGGCAGCAAGTGGAAGAGCTGTTTGGTCCCGAAGATTACTGGTGTCAGTGTGTGGCCTGGAGCTCTGCTGGAACCACCAAAAGTCGCAAGGCACATGTCCGCATTGCATGTGAGTACCACAAAGTCCCTGCGAGGTGTTTACACTTGAGTACGCATACTGTCTAGAGGTGTGGGTGAGTGCTTGGTGGGTGACACTTGTACGTGAAGCATCGTAAAAAAACACAAATTCCAGCTTTTTGCTTCCTAAGTGAAAGACACAAACAGAGACAATCATACATGCACAGGCGCAGTTATTGCCTCCACTCCGCCGGCTCCAGTCTCATGAAAGGAGCCTTGTGTGAAAGACAGCAGACTTTAGAGGATGGGGAAGGCTGACAGAGGAAGATTATGAGGAGCTTATAGAATGCAAGTAGAGTGTGTGAATTATTAAAACACTCAATCATACAAGAGCACGAGTACAGATGTGTGTACATATTTAATCAGATGAACATACACTATAATGATTACCCCACATGCACACACATGTTGACATCGACAGTCTGCTACAAATAACTTCCACTTTTTAATCAAGAGTGGTTCTCAAGAAAAAAAAAAAAAACACACATATAAATACATACAGCAGTTGGTAAAATATGTATTGCACATTAGACTTTTAGTAACAGGAAGTGCAGTTAAACAGAAAACACTTCTTTAGCAGATACTTACTTTTGTCTTCTCAGTTTCAACTAACAATCACTGTTGGTGCTAACCTCTAACAAATACATTGTGCTTCCTGTGACAGCTTCACAATAAAAGCCACCTTGTATTTCACCAGTCGAGTGTTTGTAATGTGAACCGACAGCAGTAGGAGATATTTGCATTAGCCATAACTTGATAGACCCCCGAAAAGAAAAATAAGTGAACAATAAGGTGACAAAGTTACAAACACTAACACTGAATTACACACATTGCTTCATGTAAAATCCTTGTGTATAAGTAGGCAACTTGAATGTTGTGTGAAAATGGTGCCACTAAAAATTAAAAAATCGAATATAGAGAGGATATTACAGAACTGAAAAAATAATAGAAATGATAAATGGCATCAAAAGCTAGGTTTTATGTAATGAAAATTAAGGACTACGACTCCGCCTGTATGTTTGGTTTTCTTTTCATGTGTACTGGCACATTACTGTCATGACGTATAAAGTTTTAACTAGAAAAACTCACAAAGAGAAAAGACTCAGGGAAAAACCTGCTGTACTTGGGCAGAACCTTCAAAATTGTTTTACACTGAATGATATATTGTGAGGGACTTTTCTAAGCAGAAACTTACAGTAGCTCTATAACTTTAGTCTGCCATCAGTAGCTTCCTGTTATGGTCTGGTGAAGAATTTAATAAGACAACTGGGAGTCTGACTATAAGGTCACCAAAAGAACACAGGCAGAACACAGGCCAGACTAAACCCAAGCAGACTCAATGTCACTCGAGCAGTGATCACATGGGGAAATCATTTCAGGATTGTTAGACCCCAGCAACTGTCCAGGGGGAAGAAAAGGTTGGATCCTGTTGTGAAAGACGTTCACTTGACAGCTCTGCAGCGACCCTGTAGCAAGGGAGTTGAGATGTTTGATAGAAAACCTAAACCTCACCTAAAACGCCTTGTTTGTTCTTTTAACATAAGCCTCATATAACAGAATGGATTGTTTCTTAAAGGCTCCTTTCACTGGCTTGAGAATTGGTCCCACAACCGTAGCTTTCCAAGCATCAATGCTCTGGTCACTTCAGCCATATAAGACACCTGGGACTTGTCTGAGAGCTCAGGTTATTGAAAGGTCAGGCAAAAAAAGAAATACCAATAACAAATCCGACCCCACCTCTGCTGTTTACCTGGCTTACGCTGCCAGTGTGGCTGTGCTTGAGTGAATTCTTAAAAAGGCAACTGGGGGCTTTGATAGAGTCCATTCAGCAGACACACACTACAAACTGCGCACATCCTCACATGTAGTACTTTAACAGACAATATCACTCTAACAGACACCCACCCTGGAAAACTTGTTTTCCCTGGTTGATCTTATTGGTGCTGCAGAAGGAAATCCATCATGTTGACCCTTGTTTTCCACTTCAGGTTATTTTATTTGGCTGTAAATGTGTCTTGCATTTTCTCGTTTGCAGGGCTTGGCTGCCTGGTTTATTTATTTACTTACTGACATGCATTTATTTATTTAATTTAGCATAGTAGGTTTATACACTGTAAACACTACGCTGTATCATATGGTAAATTTAACCTGTACCAGATTATTTAAATATATTAAATATACAATAGTGCATTTGTAGAAAAAAACTGAAAATTCAAGCTCATACAATATGAAATACAGTGTATGATCACAGTCGTATCGCAGTTCAATGGCAACATATTTCCCTACTAATTTGGCTTGTGAGCTTTAAAGACCATTTGAGCTTAGAACAGAGTATTGCTTTGCTATGCGAGTGTTTTTCTGTCTGTCAGCAGAGAGGGAGAGTGACACAGTCAGAAATATCCCTCTAAGCTCCGCTAACAACATTCTCGAATGGAATGGGCCCTCCTTCGGGTGCAATGAATGCTGGGTAATGTGCTGCTTTTGGCCAACGTTCCGGTCTGATACATGCTGAGAGACAGATGCAGGCAAGTGTACGTATATGCAGGCTTCTGAGATTCTCAGAGGCAAACAATAGTACAGAGATGCACACAGAGCACTGAAGGCCACATTGTTCAGTGACGTACCTTTTCCACATGGGTAGGTGACAACAGTACGAAGGTATGTCTGAATGGATGGATGCATGCGTGTGTGAGGGAGGGCCAACGTGTGTGTCTGCATCACTCTATGACTTTAAAGTGTCCCCGCCACCAATATCATCATGTGATACCAGCTTTTACCACGTGCTGCCACATCAGTCACAGTGAGTCCAAGCTCACTGCACCTCAGTTTACACTCGCTAGAAACTTCCCGTCTTATCTATTTCTTTTCTCCCTTTACTGTGTTATTTGTTTCTTTGTCTGCCTCAGTCTGATTCATTAGTGTATAATTTACACTTTAAACTGCTAGAATGCACCACAGATCCTCTACCTCTGTTCCAGCTGCGTATAATAACTTTAATAATTATAATAACTAAATCACATAGAAGCTAAAAATAATTCTGTGTCTGGTATGATTTTCATATTTTGGACCTACCAAGGGCTACCCAGTGTTCTACATACGCTATGCTAAATCTACACAAATCATAAATCTACACTACAATTAAACCAAGAGTTCCACACTGTTTCAAAAGCAAACCAGCATGCTACCTATATTTATCATTTTCTTTCCTTTTCTCATGTATTTCATAAATGCAGTATATAGTATTTCACACACGTAAGACCTCTGATGGAGGTTAGGTAGAAGGATGGTGATGGAGGATACCTTTAAGAGGGCATGATGGGCCAATAGATATCAGGGAGGAGAGAGATGATAGAAATCCAGCCCCTCTTTTACTTTACTCTCTTTCTCTTCAGATCTCTCTGTTTTCCTTTTTTTCTGTATAGTGTCTATTTTCCATCTGACTTTGTCCGTCCCTCCGTCCTTCACATTCTCTGTCTCTGTTATAACAGTGATTTTTCCCTTAACTAGATCTGATTACACTCAGCCCCCTCTTGCGATAACCTTTTACTTCAAATCGACCCAACCTCCTGACCTACCCTGCTTTCGGCTCCTATTTGGATCTACTGTTGTGATTAAAATGCTTCCTGGCAGCTAGAGCTTGCTGAGCAAAGTGTCTTTTCTACAGCACCGTGCAATAGCAATTCAGCATTTCTTTCTTGCATACCCATCTCCTCGTCCCACTCATTTTCTTATTTCCCCTCCCATTATATCCTCCTCTTCTAGTTGTTTGCTCACCATGCTTATTGTTTCATTGTCACTGCGTCTTTCTCATTCTCCGGCATCTTCAGGCTGTTTTAATAACTGTGGAATTAACACTTCAAGGCAGTAAGTAAATACGCACTTTGTAGCTGGATAATGGCAATCAGTGTTGTGGCTGTAAAAGTGTCAAACACACAGTCAGAGATATTAAATCTCAGAGTCATTTGTTGGTCTTTTGCAGCAGGGCACTTTAGCTGAGTTATGGGTGGTTCAGGCAGCTTAATTCAAGTTTATAAAGCAGGTGTGACAAACACAGACACACATTCCCACACTCTCACTCATGCACAGCATTGCAGGCACGTAAGCGAAACACAGGCACGTACATACACACAAATGTGCATGCAGTGTCAGTCATGCTCTTTGGCCCTGTATCTATCAGGTCAAGTCTTTTCTCCTTCAGCGGATTAGCAATATGTCAAGGTCACACGCACACACACACACACACACATACACACATACACACATACACACACACAAGCACACACACGCACACACACACACACACATGCAGACACACACACACACGCACACACACATGTTCACATAAACACCCAGACACAGACAAATTTCAAATGATGGCAATTTGTTCTGCCACCTTCCACTGAGACATGTGTGTGCATAGCAATCAGGAGTCCAGACACACTGGGACGCAGCAGCCCCGGCAGCTACTTGTGTCAACTGGAAAATGTCTGTTAGTGAATTTCGTCTGTTTTGTTTGTGATGCAAATGTCTCAGCTGCATGTATTTAGGTTTTCCTTCAATCATGGATGAATTACACCAAGGAAAACACGGCTCGACAGTGATTTCTTGTGTTAGATTTTAAGCATTTTAAGCAAAACCAAAACTCTTCCACACTCATTAAGGCTTAAACCTGCACGTGGCTTACAACATTAGACCCAGTCATTTGTAAACCAGCAACTGGAAACAACTGCAATGAGTTAGCCCGCCTGTCTGGTATGAAACTTGCTCAGCAGCTCATAAACCAAATTGCTGCAACAACCACAGCTCAAATGACATTTGACCCTTTTTGGCATGAAATGGCATGCAGTAGCAGTTTTATTATTGAATATGCAAATCAGTATAGATATGAACCAAAAAGACTGTGCTGTTTATCCGTCTGCAGTCACCCTGACATTGAGTGGAAAACCTTCAGTGCTTTTTCTCTGGATGACATCATCAAGAGAGTCTTGGTTT